TTTTTAAAGAATTTAAATCTAAAAACTAAAAGAAAGTTATAAAAAAATAAATAAATAAATAAAAAAAGAAAAAATAAATAAATAAAGGAAAAATATATGTATAAAATGTAAAACAAGTAATAATACAATCTGAAAACTAAAAGCAGAAAAATTCGCTGCCCGAGGTTTGCGCCTCTAGGTACAGCGCACAGTGATTTACAACTGGAATTTAATGTTCATAATTCACTTGTTTAGTGAAAAAATAAAATTTTTAGATATAGATGAAATTTTTATATAAATTCAAAAAAAAAACATAATATTGGTGAAATTTTTTTATAATATTTCGATTTTTCTTACACGATTTTTTTTCATTTTAGAAGAATCCTACAATTATTTTGAACTAGTTTCGTTAACTGGAACAGGAGAAACGACTTTCTTCAAAATGGCTACTATTTCTGCACTTTGCACTAAAAAATTTAATAAAAACAAATAAATTTAAAAAAAATCAATTATTTTACAGAGCACTTACAACTTCCTTAGCCATAATTGCGCTGTAAATTTGTCTCAAATTGCATAAGATTTATCTTCTGAGTCAAGTTTTCTAAAGTGAACCACCCCAAAATATCCAACATTCCAATTATCCAATCTCTGTTAAGCAAATGCCAAACTTTACATTAGGGAATATTACTAATGAAGGAGCATTTGCTTGGCTTTTGGATGACCTACTTGGGAAAACTGGAGAATACGCGTTTGATCTTCATTTGTATGAGGATTTCTTCGTCTCCTAATAATTTGTTTACAATGAATTAAAGTTTCCACATTTATGTATAAAAGCTTTCAAATAGTTAACTGTTTACCTCCACCCTTCGTGGGTGTTTATATTTTTCGCAATCCATGAAAGGGTGACGATAAACTCTGGTGAGCAGGTGCTACTTTGGACTCGGTAGGCAATTGAAAAGCAGAGCGCTCTCTCGACGAACTTAACACACTCTTTACAAATCTTTATAATGCCCATTCTTTCACTTGGTGCAGAAATATGGACATTGCCAAGCAAAGATAATCGGTTGTGGTGCCAATCAAGAAATAGAAATTATTTATAAAATTAAAAAAAAAAATCCCATGCGAAACAGCTGATATATTCTCAAGTTGATTGAAAAGAAAAAAGTGATGTCCACAAATATAAAAACAGGGCATTGTGCCACATTCAGTTAGCAAATAGAGGGAAATACGATCCGACGGCGAACCGGTTTTTAAACAACTATTAAACGAAAAAACAGAGCTAAATTAAATATAATACTAAAGTAAAATGTGAAATTAAAAATAGTAAAACAAATAAACGTATGAACAGTCAGAAGCGGAGTATATATTTACATATATACCTAATGGTACAGTTACACAGCCTGCCACCGACGGGCAATACGTAAATATGCTGTCAAACAAATTCGGCATACTTCCATAAAAACAAATTAAGGGGAAAATGTTTAACACCATTCACTACATGTGGCACGCATGTGGCACCTGTGAATCGAACGATTATAGGCGCTGCCCATAAACTAATTTTGGCGCAAAGTGACACTTTTAAAACTACTTAGTGCTTTACATTTATTTATGTATTTCTTTTGTTATTGTCATTGCTTTTGTTATAAACCTACTTGTCGTCACAACAGACACCATAAATGGGGCCAGCGGACTTCCTATACAGTTAAGTGACATAAGTATGTACATACATATAACAAATTTAAAAAAGAGCGAAAAAAACTATAGCTGCGAAAGAAAAGAAGCGTAACATCAGCAATAAGATTTGAAAAGTAATTAATGCTCTGCAAAATCTGCCCCACAGACACAATTCCAAACAATGTTGCCGTTTTGATACAATTGCATCATTTTTGATACTTTTTTGTTCACAAATGCACCATTTTGATACGTTTGACTGGCAGAAATGAATTTTTGAAAACTATGAATAATATTACTAGTTTAAAGGCAAATAATTTTTTTCTTGTTAAATAAAGTCTTAAAATTTTACATATAGATATTTATAAGTACAATTTGGTAACTCTTATAAGGCAAATACAACCCGGCAATGATTTTGTGTCGTTTAGGGGCCCTATAAGGTTCTTTTCGATATGGAAATAAGCATACAGATTCTCTGTTTTTGTTAGAACAAGTAATAGAATTTTAATTTTTTATTTATCATTTGTTCGCAAATAAAAGTTTAACACATACCAGTTTTGTTTGCTTTTGATACTTTTTCTGCTTGGCAACCGATACGTTTTTTTCAAGCTCGCGGCAACGCTGATTCCAAACAAACTCTGAAGAAAAAAAAGTAGATCAACGAATCAGCAAATTACGGGCAACAATTACGAAACGCGCATCAGTTTTGGTCAAATCATTTGACTCAAATGGCGTGTATGTAGATGGAATCGAAGCAGCAGCAACAGCAACTTAATAGCTGAAATACAATGCCGGCAAACGGCGAACTCACCACAGCGAAATTCGCGCTGTCAAAACCCGCAAGCATATAGCGCTGGTTATACTTGCATTGTACACATATCGAATCTGTTTAATGGAATTTGCATACAAGCGATTATCCGATGCAGCGCATGACGTGACATGACATCGAAGTCTAGAGAATTTTGATTTTTCGCTATGTGACATTTTCAAAGAGAGATGACACTCTCAATGCTCTCATTAGTCTGTTCCAGTACCCATCAGATTTACAGGAATTACTGAAAAGTCGTTCTTGTACATACATTGGGACATATTTATAGTCGAAACCCTGTCGATTATAAAGTCAGTTGCCGCCATTTCATTGAAAATTATGACAAAAAGCAGCAACTAACTTTAGTGTCGACTTCATTTAGGCTATGAATATGCATTCTTCAGTTACGTATTCCTAACTAAAACCTGGAGTACTGGAACAGACTGATTCTGGATTCTATGCCGAGAATAATTACATGCGCTGCTTCTCTATGCCCTGCACTTGCAAAGTAAGTATAACCAGCTCTTATGAAATCGAACACAGCCAAAGCGAAATGCGAAGTTCGCTCGGCGGCGTTTCGTGGAGATAGATTTATTTCTATCGCCCTGCTGAGCGATGACAGCTGTACGTGTCAAAGGTAGCCGTATTTTTTTTTTGCTTCAAAGTTTTAGAAGAAAACAACATAAACACCAATAATTTTGTTGATGTTTGAAAAATATATTTGTGAAATGTATGTGTGCTTGAAATCAAATAATTTATAATAACCTCTCTTGGTTTTACGTTTATTTTTGTTCTCGTTTCCTCATTTCTAAATATGGTTTAGTTTTTCCTAAATATGATCACCCAAATTATAAAGCCGACCAAATGGTATCAGCTGTTTTCGCTAGCGCTCTAATTCTGTTTAAGTAGGCGAAATAGCTGGACGAACGGTGAACGACAGCATCGCCCAATTCCGTGAAGTTTGCCGTTCGCCGGTATTGTATTTAAAGCATAATGTGGAAAAATAAAAAAAATCGCTAGAAAAACGTAAATGATCTAGTCGCTTAAAAAAATAATTCCAATAAAAAGTGTAACAAAGTATAGCAAAAATTAAAAGTGGTAAATACAGTTTTTAGTTAACACATTTTTTAAGAGTTAAGGCAAAAAGTAATATCTACGGCTCTCAAGAAGGCGAGATGAGCATAGAATTTTGGTTACCTTTTCATTACCTGGCATGATACCATCTTTTGGGCGACTTAAACATTTGACTTCGCTGTACGACCACAATGGGATTCAGTAAGTCATTTCTTCAGGATATCTCTTGTTTCTACCATATTCGAACATTTACATATCTGATTTTATCTTTACAGGCCACTGTGAAGTCGAGGCCAACGAGGTCGCCGACGATTTGGAGCGAGAAACAACTATAGCGGAACACTTTCTAAATTTACTTTATCATCGCGCACCAAGGCGGCTATAGGATTTATTAGACAAGCCGAATATTTCAGTTATTCAGTGAAGCCATTCTAAAGGCTTTCCGTAGAAGAGCTACTTCGAAGATAGTCGAATTAAAAAACTGTTATCGCTTACTTGTTTTAAGTAGCATTTAAAACATTTTTATTATGATTCATTTCAAATTGCAATAGTTCCGAAGAAACTATATACATATGTGATTCAGATCAGATTAAGACTTTCCATAGACTTCATGCAGTCGCTAAAGAGTAAAATCACTATCCGACAGTTACTGGCGCATATGCGCACTATCCACTTGTGCTTCGTCTGCGCACGACACGTCGTCTAATGATTCTTCTTCTTGCATTACATGCGCCGGTTTTTATAAAACGTAAGCCAACTTTGGCTAATGGGAGAGAAAAAAATATTATTGAAAAAAAACAGCTTTTGTAGCCTTACGAATCTTCGCATTGTCTATCACTTACATAGGGTACCCTTTTTGCGGGCACAACGCCTATTCGCCCTCCAGGTACAACGATTTAGGAAGGTAATACGTCTTCCCTTGTACGTTGCACAAACTGGATTATAGGTGCTGGAACAGTTGATGGTACATTTTGTAGTCGTTGCAGCTGTAGTAGTAGTAGTAGTTGTAGCAGTGGTTGTTGTGCTATTAGACGACGACGTCTGTTGGTAGGACACTGCTACTAAGGCCAAAAATGACAACAGCACTAAAAGACGCATGCTGCTTCTTGCTTGTTTTTATTAAAACCTTCTTGAAAATGAAATTGTGGAACAGTTAGCACATATTCTAAAGCACAGTTTAAGATTAACTACGCTGAATTCGCGAAATTTTCCTATTTTTATACTTGCATCTTTAGTTTACTTAACTCTTTAAATTATTTGCAAAATATTTGGCAATTTAATTGTTTTCGTTATATGTATATGTAAATATCGAGATACACACGTTTCAGGCTTATGGAAAAATAGCATTTATTCAACTGTGTCTTTTGTCAATTGCAAGAAATAACACTATGTCACAAAATACAATAAGAATGCAAATTCACTTTTCGACGGTCTAATATATAATATCCAGCAGAACAGTTGAAACTTCCGGTAGACCCTCGAAAGCTGGCATAAACTAGTAGCTTTCACATCCGAAAAGTGAGTTGTATTAGAAAAGATATCGATTCGTTGCTTACTATGGATGGACCGAAAAAATTTCAATTTAATTCCAAGCGATTTCGAACATTCAGCAATTTCGGCACCCTGTAAAAACATCTACATTTTTTTTATAACTTCCTTATTTGGTGTCCGATTTCTATAATTGAAGCACCGTTGTAAGGGAAGTTTTTGTGAGACGGTCTAATGCATATAAATTGTTCATAAAAAGTTTAAAGTGTCTGAGTAATGGCACAAAATATCTGGAAATGTTGAAACTTTTTATAAATTTTTCATTTATAATCAGATTTTAAATTCTTATTTTGTTTAGTAGTGTATTAAAAACAGCTTTATGGATTTGAATGAAATTGGGGAATAAAAATATAATATAACCAATTTGTTTTCAATGAAGTAACACATGCGATTTTTTTTAAGGAGTGGGGTGGCAACTGAGGTAGAACTGTATTGACGTAGAGACCATACATCCGATTGTGCAAAGACGCGTACCTACATATGTACCTGTTCGTTCCGTCGAGAAAAAGGTTAGTAGCTACATTTTAAAGGGGGTTGCCACCTGTTTAAAAAGTTTAATTTAAAATATTCAATAATTTAAACTAATTACTCCAATATGGATATCAATCGAAATGGTTTGGAAAAAGCTTCGTTGCAAAACTACAAGTAGTGGGCTGCAAGCAGTGAAAAAGTCAATTCAAATTGAATAAGGAAACTAGGTTATTGAAATATGTTCCACAATATGGGTGTCAGTAGCCGCTTATGGTAAAATAAAAGGGGATAAGTGTCTACAAGTGGGCGTGGCACAGAGGTTAACGAAAGCTTTGCTTCGAAAATATTTCGAAAAGGGTTGCCAGAGGGTTTTAAGTCAAAATCAATTAAATCGATAAGCTTAGTAAAATATTACAAAGCAGTTGTAAATTGAAAAAATTTAAAGAAGCTTTTATTCGAAAATATTTGTAAAGAAAATTCAAATTCAATTAAATTGATAAGTTAATAAATAGATACAAATCGCTTATAAATAATTTACGTATTTATATTGAAAAATCTTACGACATTTAAGGTGTCTTGTGAGTCCCCTAAATATTATATATAGATTTTTCTAAAGCAAGCGCAAAAACATGTGATGACAGAAAAAGACACCCCTTAAAACAAAGAATATTTATTGCATAGTACCACGATCAACTAGCAAACAAAGAACACACTTTTCAAACAAATTAAAAAAAAAAATAGACAAAGTTAAATAAAGTTAAAAGTTAAATTGAAACTAAGATAAATAATAATGAACGTATGAAAAGCCAGAAGCGGAAGCAATATTTATGTACACTGTCGCAAAACTAATTTTGCCGCTAAGTGACGCTTTTAACAGAATTCATTACTTTACATTTAGATGTGTACATATAAGTACATACATATACGCCATATACCACATCCGAGTAGTCCACTTGCAAACAGCGTTATGTGATTTTATGATAGTAAATATAAAAATAAATG